CTGTCATAAAAAAAAAACAGGTATCGTCGTACGGGGCAAAAAAAATTGGATTTGGGTCACATTTGCCTGCAGTGTAAACATAGCAGACTACTACTGAACACCTGTCTGTCCTAAGTGAAAACCAAACAAACACCACAAGACAAGTTGATTGGGTTTCTTCAGAGAAGAAATCTGTCCTCAATCAACTGCTTCGATCTCTAATTGTTCCCTTCATGTCCCAGGAAGTCCCCCCATRAACCAAAGATCTCTCAGATTAGACACAATCACGCATCTCTTTTTTTCCACCTAGAACATTTCGAACCCCCAAAGAAAAAGCACTGCCTGAGAGGTGGGGAGGAATGCTGTTTCTCTCCAACAGAGCCGTTTGCATGAGAAACATCGGCAGAGCCCGCTTCAAAGAGATCCTGCCTTCACATTGAATCAGGATCTGCCTCCATTAGATTAGATGGGCCCGAGCAAAGTTACATTGCGTTAACATTTCTGTATGGTTTCTCAAATCCGTCGTTCTGGTTCTGGTTCCCCCCATGAAGCCACTTCAAACGGCCTCTGCCATGGCATATCCTTTTGTGCTCTAAAACAGCAAATATGTGTGTGTGCGTGTCTCTCTCTCTCTCTCTCTCTCTCTAAAATGTTTCAGATGCGAGCGCGCAGTGTGTCCCAGAGGCCCTGAAAGCATCACAGAAAAAAAAAAATGAGAGAGAGAGAGAAAAGGAAAGGAGGGGAAAAAAACTAAGAGCTGGATGGACTTTAAAGCTGAGACATCCAGTGGGCTGTCAGCAGGCAGGTGTGGGGGGAGGTGATAGGATTTGACTGACAGGTGAGTGATGGATGAGGATGATAAAGACAGACAGATGAAAAACAGAAAACGTCAGGGCAAACGGTACGGGGGAAAATCCTGCTACAGTAAGTTAGTGAGGAAGTATGTTGAGGAGGGGCTAAAAGCACATGTTTCAGTTTGTAAATAAAACAGTAAATCGCTATGAATATTGCTTAAATATCTGTGGGCCTTGTTCCACGCTCTGCGGAAGTTCTTCTTAACTTGTTCAAGTGACCGCCTTCTTAAAATGCCAAAGCGACTTCTTAATGTCAGAGAGGCCATCTGGTTCTCGAACAATTCAAGATGTTTGCTTTGCATTTAGCTTTTTTTCTCCTCCTCCTCCTTGTGCTTCTTTTTTTAGATCAAATACTTTACTTTTGTGTCATCAATAACATTGTTAAAAATTTTGCAATGGAAAAGCCAGCAAAGGAATGAATCACTGTCCAATTTTTTTTRCCAGTCGTTCAAAGAAACAAAGTCCTTTTATTCAACCAGATATTGTTACTTTTAAGACTTTTTCTTTGGGTGACTTTTCACTTRGTAACCCCTTTACAGTTATTGTGGAAATTTTTCACACCATGCAAATGATGGATCTGATAACATTTTCCCATTAACATTACATGAAGCATTAATAAAAAACCCTGAACCGGTTTCTTAAAGCTTAAAAGGGACAGTTCAGCCTGGCTTCTGTAAGGTTATGAATAAACATATTTCCACCTAAAACAAAAAAAACTAACAAACTAAATTTGTCATTAAGACCAGAATCATCCAGTAACTTGTTTGGAAAAAAAATAAAGGACATCTTACCTGTTGTAGATAGCTTAGTGGCCGACAGCATTTTGAAAAAAAAAAATCAAGTTCACCAACTTAGAATGATGAATTATTTCTGTCTGGTTTGTTCTTTGGTTTTTCTATATCAAAATAAAACAAGAAAAAATGAACACTTGGCTTTTTTATTAGTTTAATAGATAAAG